GTGTGTGTGTGTGTGTGTGTGTGTGTGTGTGTGTGTGTGTGTGTGTGACATAGTGGAATTTTTGTACTGTTTCACTGACAATCATATCTGTTCAAACAGTTTGACTGTTTTTTTGTCAATGTATCTGTGTGTGTCTCCAGGTCTCCCTCAGGCCAACAGAGCTAACATCTTCCAGGGTTTAACTATGGACCAAGGCTTCTTCACTTCCAAAGACTTTCTGCCCATGGTGGCCACTGCCAGCAAGAAAGGTACTGTGGTGAATACACACCCATCCCTGTACTTCTATCTTTGTGAGGACCCTCATCTACATAATGCATTCCCTAGAACCTTGCCCTTATCCATCATGACTTAATGCCTGACCCCAACTCTTAGCATGAACCGTTTTTTAGCCTGAAGCTTGAAAGTAAGTCCTAACCCTCAAACAGGCCTATGAGGAGGTGAGGATTGGCCATAATGTCCTCATTTTCCAAAAATAGCCTCACTTGGTTAAAAAGTTGGTCCTCACTATGTAACAAGTACAAGAACTTACACACACACAAAGCATGGATATAGTGTACATCAACCATTTCCAGGAAATATACAACACACACACAACAGTTTCGTTGGTGACATCATTTCAATTAACAAATATTTGTAGGTATTAATAAGGAAATTGAACTAGTTCAGATATAAAAATGTTTCAGCGGTGAAAGGTATATTTGCGCGTCTTGGACAGTCTCATATTACTGTGTCTCTCTGTCTCCATCTCACTCGGTCTAGGTATGTGTCAGTGCCGCACCTCTCTGCCAGAGTTAAGAGGTATCGTGATAGTTTTGGGAGCCGGCGACACCGCGTTTGACTGCGCCACCTCGGCTCTACGCTGCGGAGCCAAGAGAGTCTACGTCTGCTTCAGGAAGGGATTCACTAACATCAGGGCTGTTCCTGAGGAGGTACGGATGAGGGATGGATGGACAGATATATACGCAGATGGAAACATAGAGAATGCTGAACACGTGTTTTTTTCCTGTCAGATGGAGTTGGCTAAGGAGGAGAAGTGTGAGTTCCTGCCCTTCCTGTCTCCTCGTGAGGTCATCATGAAGAACGGTCGGGTTGCCGGGTTACAGTTCTGTCGCACCGAGCAGACTGAGGAAGGTGATTGGCTGGAAGATGAAGAGCAAGTTGTCAGGCTGAAGGCTGATTACATCATCAGTGCCTTTGGTTCCATGCTCAACGAACCACAAGGTAATTGACCAATCAGACGGACTAGCTGACCAACAATTAGCCTCTTTGCTTTGCCCTGACAAATCAGTCAACTAATATGTGTGTTGAAAATGAGAAGATGTGTGTAAATCTCTGTATCTTTGTATTTTGTGTGTTTTTGTATTTTGCAGTCTTTTGTATGTTTATGCATTTGTATTTATATTTTTATAGCGTATGTAATCAACCAATATGGCTTGATACAAACTCTTGGTCTCTTGGTCTGTCCGACTTTGGAAAAGGTCCTAGAAAATACATATTTGCATTGTTACACAACAGCTTTGAGCTTTTCAGAATTGCAGGAGCTGTTACTGAGTGATGCTGTAGCTGAATGCAGAATATTAAAGCTACTTCGAGGATTGTCCCTGTGGACAAAAGCAGTAGTGTTCCCTTGCACCAGACTCCCTTTAGAAAACCTCTTATTTTCATGCAGCAAGGGTTTGATAGTCAGCCCTGCACAGTCCTGGTTCTGGTTCTCCCGTGCCTCCCTTCCCCCCAGCGGGCTCAGTAATACGGTCTGGGTCCCCAGCAGCTTAATGTCAGTGTTGGTCTCATTTACTGATGAAGGTCATATAGAGGCATCGGTATTAAACTAAGACTGTTTCAGAACCAGTTGTAAGTTCGTCATAGTAACCTTAATTTGGTGATAACATGTTTTCATGCATAATAATAATAATAATAATAGTGCATTTTATTTGTAATGCACTTTTCATTAAAAAAATCTCAGAGTGCCAAAAAAATCCATCCATCCATCCATCCATTTTCCTCCGCTTATCCGGGGTCGGGTCGCGGTGGCAACAGGCCAAGCAGGCTGACCCAGACTTCCCTCTCACCGGCAACATGTTCCAGCTCATTCTGGGGGATCCCGAGGCGTTCCCAGGCCAGCTGGGAGATGTAATCTCTCCAGCGTGTTCTGGGTCTTCCCCGGGGTCTCTTCCCAGTTGGACGTGCCTGGGAAACCTCCAGTGGGAGGCGTCCAGGAGGCATTCTAATTAGATGCCCCTAACCACCTCAGCTGACTCCTTTCGACGCGAAGGAGTAGCGGCTCGACTCCAAGCTCCCTCCTGATGACCAAGCTCCTTACCCTATCTCTAAGGCTGAGCCCGGCCACCCTACGGAGGAAACTCATTCCGGCCGCTTGTAGCCGCAACCTTGTCCTTTCGGTCACGACCCAGAGTTCGTGACCATAGGTGAGGGTAGGAACGTAGACCGAGTGGTAAATTGAGAGCTTTGCCTTCCGGCTCAGCTCCCTCTTCACCAAGATGGTCCGGTGCAGCGCCTGCTTTACTGCTGCAGCCGCACCAATCCGTCTGTCGATCTCCCGCTCCATCTTACCCTCACTCGTGAACAAGACCCCGAGATACTTGAACTCCTTCGCTTGAGGTAGGCACTCCGTCCCTACCTGGAGGGAGCAATCCACCGGTTTCCGGCAGAGCACCATGGCCTCAGATTTGGAGGAGCTAACTCTCATCCCCGCCGCTTCACATTCGGCTGCAAACCGCCCCAGTGAATGCTGGAGGTCATGATCCGAGGAGGCTAACAGGACCACATCATCTGCAAACAGCAGAGAGGCGATCCCGAGACCCCCGAACCTGACGTTGTCCACCCCCAGGCTGCGCCTAGATATCCTGTCCGTGAAAGTCACGAACAGGACCAGAGACAAAGGGCAACCCTGGCGGAGGCCAACACCCACCGAGAACATGTCTGACTTATTGCCGAGAATGCGGACACAGCTCCTACTGCAGTCGTACAGAGACCGGATCGCCCGTTGTAATGGGTCCGGCACCCCATACTCCCGCAGCACCCCCCACAAGAACCCCCGAGGGACCCGGTCGAAAGCCTTCTCCAAGTCCACAAAGCACATGTGGACTGGTTGGGCAAACTCCCAGAACCCCTCCAGTAGTCTTGCGAGGGTAAAGAGCTGGTCCATTGTTCCACGGCCGGGACGGAATCCGCATTGCTCCTCTTGAATCTGAGGTTCGACAAACGGTCGGAGCCTCCTTTCCAGCACCCTGGCATAAGCCTTCCCTGGGAGGCTGAGTAGTGTGATACCCCGGTAATTCGAGCACACTCTCCGGTCCCCCTTTTTGAAAATGGGAACCACCACCCCGGTCTGCCAGTCCATGGGCACTGATCCCGACCCCCATGCAACATTGAAGAGGCGTGTCAGCCAGGACAGCCCAACTATGTCCAGCGCTTTCAGCATCTCAGGGCGGATCTCATCCACCCCCGGCGCCTTGCCACCAAGGAGCTTTTTGACTACCTCAGCGGCCTCTGCCAGGGATATGGGTGAGCCTCCCCCTAGATCTTCAGGCGCTGCCTCCTCTGCAGAGGACATGTTGGTCGGGTTTAGGAGTTCCTCAAAGTGCTCTTTCCACCGCCGACGATGTCCCCTGTCCGGGTCAGCAGTCCCCCCCCCCCTGCTGAGAACAGCCTGGGGTAAGCCCTGCTTTCCCTTCCTGAGCCGTCGGATAGTTTGCCAGAACCTCCTTGAGGCCAACCGAAAGTCCTTCTCCATGGCCTCCCCGAACTCCTCCCATGCCCGAGTTTTAGCATTCGCGACCACCGCAGCTGCAGCCCTTCTGGCCTGCCGGTACGTGTCAGCTGCTTCGGGAGACCCCTGGGCCAACCAGGCCTTGAAGGTCTCCTTCTTCAGCTTGACAGCTTCCCTCACCTCCGGTGTCCACCACCGGGTTCTTGGGTTGCCGCCATGACAGGCACCGATGACCTTCCGGCCACAGCTCCTAGCGGCCGCGTCCACAATAGAGGCTTTGAACATGGTCCATTCGGATTCTGTGTCCCCAACCTCCCTCGGGATGTGTGAGAAGTTCTTCTGGAGGTGGGAGTTAAAGACCTCCCAGACAGGGTCCTCTGCCAGACGTTCCCAGTTCACCCTCACTACACGTTTGGGCTTGCCGGGTCTTTCCAACCGGTTCCCCTGCCATCTGATCCAACTCACCACCAGGTGGTGATCAGTTGACAGCTCTGCTCCTCTCTTCACCCGAGTGTCCAAGACATACGGCCGCAAATCAAATGATACGATTACAAAGTCGATCATTGATCTCCGGCCTAAGGTGTTCTGGTACCAGGTACACTTATGAGCCACCTTATGTTCGAACATGGTGTTCGTTATGGCCAAACCGTGGCAAGCACAGAAGTCCAATAACGAGACACTATTCGGGTTCAGATCGGGCAAGCCGTTCCTCCCAATCAACCCCCGCCAGGTTTCTTCGTCATTGCCCACGTGAGCGTTGAAGTCCCCCAGGAGAACTATGGAGTCGGTAGGTGGCGCCCTTTCCAGGACCCCTCCCACCGACTCCAAGAAGGCCGGATACTCTGAACTGCTGTTTGGTGCGTAAGCACAAACCACAGTCAGAGCCTTGCTCTCCGCAACCCGTAGGCACATGGAGGCGACCCTCTCGTTCTCCGGGGAGAACTCCAACACAGCGGCGCTCAGCCGGGGGCTCGTGAGTATCCCCACTCCCGCCCGGCGCCTCTCACCCTGGGCAACTCCGGAAAAGGACAAAGTCCAACCTCTCTCCAGGAGCTTGGTTCCAGAGCCAGCGCTGTGTGTGGAGGTGAGTCCAACTATATCTAGCTGGTATCGCTCCACCTCCTGCACCAGCTCTGGCTCTTTCCCCGCTAGCGAGGTGACGTTCCACGTCCCTAGAGCTAGTCTATGCTGCCGGCGATCGGCGCGCCCAGGCCTCCCGCCGCCCGGTCTGCATTGCACCCGACCCCGATGCTTGTCCCTGCGGGTGGTGGGTCCACAGGGTGGCTGCTCCATGCTGTTTATTCGGGCTGAGCCCGACCGGGCCCCGTGGGCGAAGGCCTGGCCACCAGACGCTCGCCGACGAGCTCCCCTCCTGGGTCTGGCTCCGGGAGGGTTCCCCGGTTTCCCTGGTCCGGGCGAGGTGGCTAAAGTCCGTGGGCTGCTTATCATTAGGGTCGTTTGAACCGCTCTTAGTCTGGGCTCTCCCCTGAGACCTGTTTGCCTTGGGAGACCCTACCAGGGGCTAATGCCCCGGACAACATATCTCCCAGGATCACTGAGCCACTCAAACTCCTCCACCACGTTAAGGTGGTGATTCGCGGAGGAGGCCAAAAATTGAGGGAAAATGCTAGAATCACAGTAAGTCATAGTATGTATCACAATGAGTACATTTTAAGTCTTAAATCTTTTAAGATTTATGCTTAATATGTGTTTTGTAAATTAGCGCTATGTGTCTGCTTTCACAACTTGAAACAGCAAACGCTGTGAATTTAAGAACATCTCCAAAAAATCAGCCAAAAAAATCTCATAATAATAATCAGATAATAATCGCATAATCAGATCCATATTCCGTATGTGTCTGTGTGTAGTAAGCGAGGCCATGGCTCCTGTGAAGATGAACCGCTGGGGCACTCCAGAGGTGAACACCGACACCATGCAGACCAGTGAGCCCTGGGTGTTTGCAGGAGGAGACATCGCTGGTTTGGCAAACACCACCGTGGAATCGGTGAACGATGGCAAACAGGCTTCGTGGCACATTCACAGATACATGCAGGTAAATTGGTCTCAGCCTGAAGCCTGCACCCCCCCCCCCGCCCAGTTTATTACTGAATTAAACATAGGCTGTAACATATTCGTCCCATCTCCCTTGCTCCTGCAGTCTCTGCATGGACAGACAGTGGACCCAGTTCCGAAGCTGCCGCTGTTTTACAGTGCTATAGATCAGGTGGACATCAGCGTTGAGGTGTGTGGAATCAAGTTTCCCAACCCGTTTGGTCTGGCGTCTGCTCCTCCCACCACCAGCACTGCCATGATCAGGAGGGCTTTTGAGCAAGGATGGGGCTTCGCTCTGACCAAGACGTTTGGACTGAATAAGGTAGAGTAAACACACACACACACAATATAAAGTACCACCAAGCAAGCACTCAGAGTTGCACATTAGTATACAAACATAAGGGATTCTGGAGCCCACTTTTATAGCCATTTACCCACTTCACTTTGGTTATTTTGTAGTTTGTTCTGTTTCTTTGTATAGTTTGTTGGTCTAAATGGCAGCACTAACAGAGATGGTAACCAGCAAAATATTGTAGAGCTGCACCCAACAATCATTTTCACTTTTGGATTAGTCTGCCAGTCATTATTATTTGGGAGATCATGTGTTCGGTCATGTGTGCGTGTGTATCTGTCACAGCTAGTCTCACATACAACTGGACTCATCAGCCTAATCTTTTTTGGGCTCGTTTATGACTGTATGGACCTCTTGCGGTTGCGGTGATTCACAATTTTTTCATACTGTTACACACTGTTTCATACTGTCGTTGAATGCTGGCTCCTCCCTCCTCTTAATAGGCAAGTTAAGAGGAGTAATTCATTTTGGCCTGTGACGTGGCCAAAGATCCATAGAAAAGTCTAAAAAATCGACAGATTAATTTCATACCCGATATGTTAAGATCCACTAAAGTTAGGCTATATGATACAAGATGAATGAATCCCCATTTTTGTTATCCTCATCGCCATCTTGACTGTATAGGAGTCGCGAGTGACAATCGAGTGAAACTCTTCTTTGTTTGGGAAAGGAGAGGGAGACACACCTGGTGGAGATATTCACTCTAGGGGGGGGCATTTTTCTCGCCTTAATTAGTCATTTAATCTGTAAATTGACAGAAAAAAAAAGTCCATCACAGTGTCATAAAGCCCAATTTAGCCCAATTCAGATTGCCTGTTTTGTCCAACCAAAAGTCCAAAACCTTTTTATTTTCAGTTCACTACTATGATACAATCATACAATCAGCAAGTTTTCATATTTAAGAAGCTGGAACCAGAAGTTTTGTTGGCATCAGAATTGTTACTAATTGATTTTTGTTCCACTGATTCATCACCTGATTGTTTCAGCTCTGAAGTAATGCCATTATTAGAGGTATTCCGTCAGTAAAAGCTCAAATAAATGAGTTTTAGCTTCTGTTTCAGGGAATGCCGTGTGTTATTAGCTCTACAGGTAATATGTCTGCATTAATGGAAACATGCACATACATGCATGACATGGAAGTGGATTCTGAGTCCATTTACCAATGGAAACCCAGTTACATAAAAACAACCACTCACACAGACACCACTGCCTCTGTGAATCTGTGTCTGCAGGATCTGGTGACCAACGTGTCTCCTCGCATTGTGCGCGGTACCACCTCAGGTCACATGTACGGACCGGGTCAGGGCTCCTTCCTCAACATCGAGCTCATCAGCGAGAAGACGGCAGCCTACTGGTGTCAGTCAGTCACAGAGCTGAAGAAGGACTTCCCTAACAATGTAAGTTTCCTCGTCACGGTCAGAGTCATGACTCTACTTTACTAAGAAACATGAAAAGCGTTACTAACAGCAGGCAGAATGTTGCCAACTGTGGTGACTGCCTATGTGTGTTAAGGAGTTAAAGCTAGGGCTGGTCAAATTGACAAACCAGCAGGAGTAAGAGTGCGCTAGATTTAAAAAAGTATCCAACAGAAAAACTCAGCCCAGTGTTGCAACAACACTGACAGCCCGTCATTTTGGGCATCCCTCCAAAGCCACGACCCCCCAAATTACCATAATGACAACAAACATGGTTATTGTGAGTACTCACAGCTGTTAAGCTAGCAGCTTGTGGAGGACTCTGGTGGCGAGCATACATTCGGGCCAAATGAAATGATTGGAGGAGCTTAACAATGTCCTGTGACAGCCACAGATACCAGATCTTTTTCCTTTTTAATTCATTGGTTGCTGTCAGGATGTGATGAAACTTTCAACAAAAATATCTAAGATGTTTTTTAAGAAGATTACAAACAGACAGTGGCCATTTACACTGTCTGATCCAACAGCATGGTGAGATTCATCTTCCACCCGAGTCACTGTGTGTCTGAAATATTACGTGTGTGTGATTGAAGAACGGACATTTGAAAACGAACCCTCTCCCCGTCTCTCTCTGTCAGGTGGTGATCTCCAGTATAATGTGCAGTTACAACAAGGAAGACTGGACAGAAATAGCCACAATGGCAGAGGTGAGGAAAACCACATGCCAGTTACAGAATCTATTGTGTAATTATTGAAAGTTGCATACACAGGTTGCAACTGTGTGGTTTGTGACGGTCTGAAATGGAAATGTGTGTGTGTTTAGGAATCAGGAGCAGATGCATTGGAGCTGAACCTGTCTTGTCCTCATGGGATGGGAGAGAGAGGCATGGGACTGGCCTGTGGACAGGTACACAGACACACACACACACACACTATTCCGATGTACAGTATATGCACAAAGATTTACTCGTCATAAGCACACAGTTCATTCTGTTTTTTACAGCCTGCTCTACCATATTATGGAGGATACCATCTCGTGTAATCTTTCAAAGATTTATAATTTGATATGCTGAATAATTTGTGTATTATTGACATGTTTGTGTTTTCATGTGTCTGTGGGATTAGGACCCGGTGTTGGTGCGTAACATCTGCCGCTGGGTGCGTGCAGCCACTACCATTCCGTTCTTTGCCAAACTGACACCAAACGTTACCAATATTGTCGACATCGCCATGGCTGCTCATGAAGGTGGACACACTTCACCGCACCACGCTCACTTCTTTGTCTTTCTTCCACTTCATTTCTGCTACTGGACTTCCTTCCATCAATATATATATAGAGCAAATGATCAACATTGAGGATATGTGATGAATGTATGTGATTGTTGTTATTGTTGCACTGTGTTACAGGTGGAGCAGATGGAGTAACAGCCACCAACACAGTGTCAGGTATGATGGGACTGAAGGCCGATGGTTCCCCCTGGCCGTGTGTTGGGAAGGGCCAACGCACCACGTATGGAGGGGTCTCTGGTGAGGAAACGCACGAACATGCAAACATGTACACTGTCCCTTTAGCTGGTAGTTACCGATACTGCTGTAATAAAAAGGTACTTGTAGAGAATATGTGTGGCACTTCTAATACACCTTCAATAAAGACAGATTAAAAAGAGTAAATTAAAGCAGCAGAGGATTACCCGGATTTTTAGTCCGTAATAATGTGAGTCTAGCTATAAAAACACTGGATCCTACACTTCCCATTCTGCAACTTCATAGCGTCTTTCATCAGAATCTCTCTGTTCAATTAACACCTCCAGTTCATAACGCGGCTTTCTGTTATGAATTTGTCGTCTCCACGCCCATGTTGAGACAACACAGATGATATCATTTGGGTCTTTTTTAAATTTTGGAGCACTCTTTCCAGAGCCGACGGAATCCCTGAGAGGCAAATGAGAAAAAGTAATTCTGGTGATCCATTTTTTTGGGCTGATCTAAATAGTTTTCTCTCCTGTGTTTCTGACTTAAAGGAACCGTGTAGCATTTTGGGAGATCTATTGGCAGAAATGGAATATAATATTCAGAAGTATGTTTTCTTGAATGTATAATCACCTGAAAATAAGAACTGTTGTGTTTTTGTTACCTTAACATGAGCCGTTTATATCCACATACCGAGCGGGTCCTCTTCACAGAGCCGGCCATCATGTTGCTACAGTAGCCTGGAACGGACAAACCAAACATTGGTTCTAGAGATGTAATCTGAACCCAAGATCCTAGAAACTACTAGACCTTTAATTAAGAACAGATGAAAAAAAGTTTTGCTAGGGTCACTTTTTTGATTTGCTTTTTTTCCACCAGTGAAACAGGCAGGGAAAATAGTTTTTTGTTTGTCTTTTTTGTGTTCTCCTTGCACTTTAAACACAAGGCACATAGAGTGTGTGTGTTAGCAAGTTATGTACATTAAAACTCACTTGGAGGAAAACATAAGTGCTATTTAGTCCTATTTAGAACAACAGCCTCTTGTGGCTGAAATTAGTACTACAACAACATAGACTTAGAAAAATTATCCTGACAAAAGAAAATCACCTGGCAACTTTTCTCCACCTGTTTCACAGATTAACAAAAAATAAAAAATATTTCAGGGAGATTTATCTGGCTTCCATAACAGCCACAGAAGACATTATATAAATCATTTTCACAGTGTTACTTATTGTTATGAACAAACTCAACTTACTGAGTAAACTGGTGAAGTCCATCTTTAATTAGGTAACATAGACAGTGACATCAATACAGATGGACAACAAACACATACCAATTAACATACCCACTAGTTTATACACCTCTGGTCCTCCGGTCGTGCTAACTGAAGCTGATGCGGACCAACAGGGGGCGACTCCTTCAGTTGCAAAAAGAAGTCTTATTGTATAGAAGTCTATGAGAAAATTACTCTAATTCTCTCTTGATTTATTACCTCAGTAAACATTTTAAACATGAGTTTATGGTCTCAATCTCTAGTTTCAAGTCTTCTTCAATACAGCATGATGTTCATTTAGTAAATTATGGTCCATTTAGAGTCAAACAGACCATAAAGCAGGGTATCTTGTAGGGCGGGGCTACACAGTGATTGACAGGTTGCTGACTCTACCAGAGTCGTATACGGCGTCTCTACGTCACTCCTCCGCATTCCAAATATGGTAACTTCCGTTCGATTGTGAAAACAACAACATGGCGACGGCCGCAATCCAAGATGGCGATGGCGAGATCGCCAAACTCGAGACTTCAAAACGACAGTCCACAAACCAATAGGTGATGTCACGATGACTACGTCCCAGGGGCGTTTCTAGGATTCAAAGAAAGGGGGAGCTTAGCCCCAAGGGGAGTGGCATGTTTGCACGTGGCAATTGTTTTTGGGGCCCATTTGGGGCCGTGGATATCCATTGTTTCAGTTCATAGATTGGTTCAATCAGAAAGAGTGTGATTTTGCTCTGTAGTTTTGCTTGCATTCAGTATATGATAACACAAGAGACAGAATTTCAGGGTCATAGTGAAATTTGACAACACAAATATGAACTTTTCTCAAATAAAGAATATCCGCGTCACTCCCAAATCCTAATTCTTAAAAGGACCGCACACAATGGATGGAGAATGGACCTGACAGTGTCAACTTTATATCGTTAAGTATGATGATGGGCTATTGGATTGTAATTTGAAGGGGGAGAAAACATACAAACCAGAACGCATGCACATATGTAGCATGTTAGAGTTATAAATAACTTGTCCATGTGAGAAACAATAGTTTCACCAAAAAAAACAAAACTTTTTTTTTTATTTTTTTTAAAGCCAATAATGCCAAATTATTATGGGGAGCTGAAGAACATTTTAGGGGGGCTTCAAACGTCCACTTCCGAAATACAGTCTATGCTTATAACCAACTGTAACCGTGGTAACCTACCACAAGCAGGTATCACATTTCAGTGGCCTGAAGTATTGAAATGAACTGAAAATAAAGATTTGCTTTTACGTGTAAGATTTGTAAATACAACAGCATTAGCCTTTAAAAGATCCTGGGATGACTGAGGGAATTAAAGTGACACATGACATCCACACTGAACTAGCTCTTAATATGAATAACAATGTGTGCAGGTAATGCCATCAGACCCATCGTTCTCAGAGCAGTGTCAGCCATCGCCAGAGCAATTCCTGGTTTCCCCGTCCTGGCCACCGGAGGTATCGACTCAGCAGAGACTGGACTACAGTTTCTCCACGCCGGGGCCTCAGTGTTACAGGTGATGATATTGATGCAGCACTGATTCCCTCATGCAATAATAGTTTAATAACATATTGTGAAGTCAATGAATACATCTTTTTTTTTAAAGACTGTAATCTGAATTGCCTTACAGTTTAATATCACTGTAGATGATCTTTTATTACTTATACTACATACATGTTCCTGTTCTCCTACATCTACGCTGTGTTTTTCAGTAATTCTTAGAAAGAAACGCTGTCTAAATATGAATGTATTTGTATTTGAATTATCCAGTTAGGTTCATATGTCTCTTCAATCCTCAGAGTTAAGTCTTGAACAAGCTCTGTGGATGTTTTCAGCTGAGGGCACCACGGTGTAAACAGTGACAACTATTTTTAAACTCATTCATTCAATATAGCAATTTAAGGGTCAGAAGCAGCAGTCTTTGACAGAAATATACAAATTGCAGTTAATTTGAAGCAAAATGAAATCTTACTTTATATGGTTGTGATTACATTTTTGTGGACCTCTGTTTGTCTTCCTGTCTCTGACTCCCACAGGTGTGCAGTGCAGTACAGAACCAGGACTTCACAGTGATTGAGGATTACTGTGTGGGTGTGTAACTGTGTTTTTGTATTTATATATATTCTCCTTGGTGAAAAGACATGAGCAGATCCAGCATATTGGACCCTGAAACAAGGAACAAGCAATAATCACAAACATCACTGGATGTTTTTTACAATGTCATGAACTGTGACGGCCTTTTATTCCCTCAGCCATTGCTGGAGACATTCTTTTGTTTTTCCATGCATCCATCCCATTTTCATGGGAAAAAAGGTCTTTGCCATAGTTTAAAAATAATACTAATTATGACAGTTTCACACAAATGTCTAATATGATAAAACGATGAAGTGATGAGATTTTTGACTGACATTGTTAAAACTGCAACATGACTAGTTGGCTGGCGGATACAACCAAGAGGCAGTTATTCTAGTTATAACAATAAAATGCATGGGTTTAGCATTCAGTTGTGTTATTATTCCTAGTTCTTGAAAATCTAAAACAATGACCCATGGGGCCGGTTAACCTGTTGTTTATCTCAACAGGTTGTACTCTAGGGTATTTTTAACTGAAGTCTGTATCGACATAACAGATTGAAAAGCTACCTACCTACTCATGTTTTGATTCAGGTCTGAAGAGTTCTGCATACCCACTTTGTATGTTCTCCTGAAATAACCACCAACCTAAAAATGGTCAAATGTGTCCAGATGCTTCTGCTTTCGGATATTTAACCTGCATGATGATACCATCATGGTGGATATGTGTGTTCAGGTCTGAAGGCCTTGTTGTACCTGAAGAGCCTGGAGCTGAAGGATTGGGACGGCCAGTCTCCTCCGACAGAGAGACATCAGAAGGGGAAACCAGTTCCCAGACTGGAAGACCTGGTGGGAAAGGTACCACCACTTTCTACCAATACTACTACTACAGTATTAGTATATTAATTATGCTACTATAGTACTACTACCATTGCCGTGTGTGTGTGTGTGTGTGTGTGTGTGTGTGTGTGTGTGTGTGTGTGTGTGTGTGTGTGTGTGTGTGTGTGTGTTGGTAGAGCCTCCCTAGCTTTGGGCCGTACCTCCAGGAGAGGACAGATGCCATCGCAGAGTACAAGAAAAAGCTGAGAAACGAAAATAATTATGTGAAGGAAGCCGACATCAGCCGGGGCGACGCGCCCAAAAAAACTGTCCCTGCAGTCAAGGTATGGCACACTGCACACACTCTACTCCTTCGGATGTATTATTGTTGTATAATTTTGCTTTGGCCTGTGAAATACGTTTTTAACCACTGTGGATACTGTGTGTGTGTGTGTGTGTGTGTGTGTGTGTGTGTGTTTGTAGGACGTCATAGCCAGAGCGTTGCGCCACATCGGAGCATACCGGGACCTTAACAACATGGAGCAGGTACGCATATTCTCACATATTATAGCCCTTTTATATTTTAAGAATTAAACATTTTAAGTGAGGTTGTTGCCGCCAAAATGAACAGAAGCCCAAAGATTATGGTATGCAATACATTTTTTTACAACATTCTTGACATCTTGGCATAACCCAAATAGAGGCCAAATGACCAAATGGGCACAAAGTGTCAGGACCCATGGGCCTTCACATACAAAATGTAATCTCCAAGTATCAACCAGGAAGAGACTCAAAATGACCGCAAAGTAACACAAAACAACTACAATGAGACACAAAGCAACTTTAAAGACAGTGGGAGTGCAAATTGATTCCAAAGTTTTGCAAGGAGGTATCACATGCAATGTATATAAATCTACATAAATACCTCTGCACCCTACTTTCATATTAGACATATATATCCATCCATCCATCCATTATCTCTAACCGCTTATCCTATTCAGAGTGCTGTGGAGACAAATATCCAGTTGATCCAATTTCCCAAAACAAAAATAAATCACTTATTAACATGTGCTTACTGTTAATGTTAAACACCTCATAGCTTTATCAGGGATACATGTAAATAGGCTGCATGTAGGTCAGTGGATCAGGGAGATGTCTCCCTTCCTCTCAATGGAGAGAATCACTTATAGATCTTTGACTCTTTATGGAAAATATGGATATGTCTAAAACACTTCAATGGACTGAGGAAACAAGAAATGTTGATGTGATGAGAGGTTGGATATAAACAGGGAGGAGAATATCACCTGTTCTAAATTGTATTAAATTTATTCTACTTTTCACTCTCTATTCTATTTTATTCTACTTTTTCGTTTACTTTTTGACTATTTCTTTATGCATTTGTTTTTGTACTTTTCATTTATTTAGCTTTTCTCCTACATTAATGTTTTTTCAATTGTGTTTTTCAATACTCTTTTATATGCATGTGTGTGTGTGTGTGTGTGTGTGTGTGTGCGTGTGTGTGTGTGTCTGCGTGTGTTTATTTATTTATGAATTTATGAAATAAATTGATCATAATCATGATCTTTCCCTGTGTTCTCAGGTCCAGGCTGTGATAGATGAAGAGATGTGTATCAACTGTGGAAAATGTTACATGACCTGCAACGACTCTGGATACCAGGTATGTCAGTCAGTCAGTCTGTCAGTCACAGAACTCCCTGTTTTGAAGACTTAACTGCCTCAGTCCTCGCTCACACGACCCGTTCACTGTCTTCACAGGCCATAACGTTCGACCCAGAGACCCACCTTCCCAGTGTGACTGACAACTGCACCGGCTGCACTCTGTGCCTCAGCGTCTGTCCAATCATAGACTGCATCAAGATGGTTACCATGGAAAAACCCTATAAACCCAAGAGGGGTGTGCCTGTCAGTCCTGTCTACTGAAGGGAGAGACGAACCAACACTGTCCACCTATTTAATAATGGTAATCAGACGTTATGAAGTTGGGTTTTATGATCACATTAATCTGCCTCATGAGGTTTGACACATTGTATGTGTCCCATTAACTCATAGGACCCTAGCCCTATTTTTAGGCTTACTGGTTAATAACTGATACACTTATGGCACAGCTCAAATTGAAAAATTTCTAGGTTCGCCTAAAAAAATGCACTTGTATTGAACATTTTTGTTTTTTAAATAATGCAGCTGCAAGCCTAAAACACGCCACAGTCATAGAACAACACGTTTTACATGTCCCCACAACATATTTTACTTCGATTGAGTGAAGCAGGCCAGCATAAATGGTCATAAAAATCAAAATTTAGATTTTCGGGAACCAGCTGTTGCATTGCTGTATACTAATTGTATGTACTATATAACTAAATATTAACTATATATTCACTTTTCTTATCACTAAGAGTGTTCAATAATCCTAATAAATCAGTTTGACACCATTTTGAATAATTTTGAGCAGTTATGATGTGTCATATCTGTCATTCATAACAATAAATGGCTCATAATGTGTGTCTATGTGACCCCGGTAAGGCCGATTTACTTGTGTGAGACATTTTTAGATGCGGGATAGTCCAACGGGAGCCATGCAGGGGTGTTTGATCGTATCCGGGTCTGTTTACTGACTAAAAATCGCAAAATGCTGGGCATCTCTGCCCCTCTCTACATGGATTGCTCCACCCCACAGAATCGTCTGCCATTTTGTGATTCATTCCGCCAGCGCATTGATCTCACTCACAGACATGCAGCAGAACATGGTGGGCAGAGCTGTGCAGAAATCGGCTTGAATAAATCCGTTTTTCATCGCCAAAACCGTCAAGAAGTTTTTTTTACCCAATTTCTTTTCTCGTGACCTGCGGCTGATGTTGGCATGCATACCCATAACTTTTGAACGGTTTGAAAGAGAGTAATTTGGACGCCGCTGTGTCAAATGCTGTTTCCGAGTCAAATCGTGCCCCTCCTGCATGTGTTCATCCGCCATGTGCGATCCTGCTCCGTGATGAGAGAGCCATAGAGTGAGCATAGGTCGTCGATTTTTGGCCAAAATTGTGGCAAATCTTCTAGATATCTTCCAGATATGATATTAGTTCATGTATAATTGTGTTTGCAGTGTTTACAATGGCTGGTATGATGATGTTGCTCGGACTTTTCCCGTTAATTCGATATTTAATGTGTCTGGAGCAATAATCATATTTCTTTATGAAAAATGCTTTCTACGACATGCTGAATGCTGCACTCTAAAACAGCCCCCCGTGGGGGGCTCTCGGGTCCTATAATGTAAATCACTTGGAAGAGTTCAAAAGTGATAGAAAAATGACATCTTATGTGTTTATCTGCTTGATGGAGAGTAATAGGTGGAGTTCATGAGAAAGTATGATTTTAAGAAATGCCAACCTTTTTTAGATCAGGATTCACAATTCATCAAAATGAATTTGTCAAATATTTAATTGTAATTCTGACACGAATAATTGTGAATTCAGCTTTATTGTTATCCCTCTGTAAACACTGAAAATTTCAAATTAAACGTGAATGTATGTACTGTATGTTAATGTTCTAGTGTGAAAATAAATCTTTGATATGGTCTAATTATTAAAATAAAAGTGTTCTAATACAGCAAAGCATCTGAACACTGGAGCACAAACTAACATACACACACTGTATGAACTCTTACATATCTTACCGTGGATCAAACTGTGATGAATGTCATAGACTTAGTAATTATATTGTACTGACTGGTCTGGTGGAATAAGTATTCAGATATTTACCTTGATTAAAAATGAGCAATGAACAAATACCCTGTGGGTAAATATCTGAATTTAAAACTAAAGTTCATAAATATCATCAGCTGAATGTACTTAATGTACCATAATAAAGTATTACAAGTAAAATAAATAATTGTTGATGAATTGTGTTATTTTCAGCGTTGGAAATAACAGTGTTTCAGTGTTCAGTGTTTGTTCCAAGATGGCGCCGCAGATGGCAGCCTCGGTACTGCGCTCTCTTGTGTGTGCCGAATAAAACCTTCTGCACATTCAATAACAATAAACCCTGGTTTACTGAGAAACTCAGGCAGCTTCGTCGGGCCAAGGAGGAGGCCTACAGAAGTGGGGACAGGATCCTGTACAACCAGGTCAGAAACACATTGACGAGGGAGATCAGGGTAGCTAAGAGGAGCTACACTGAAAAGCTGGAGAAAAGGCTTTCAGCCAACGACCCCTCGTCAGTTTGGAGAGGCCTGGAAGTACTCACGAACTACAGGAGACCATCCCCCCCCCACTGAGGCCAATCACC